AATAACATCATCACCGTCATCATCAACATCATCGCCAAAAGAGCTGTGTCAAATTTCAACCTTCCCTCCTGATAACAATCCGTTATATTTAACTCGCCAATTACTAAGTGGCCAACCAATAAGAAAACAGATATGCGGCACGTCGGAGCAACCCTGGATTATTATTGTTCGGCCGGGTCAACGAATCAGAGTGACCCTTTTAGATTTCTCCATCACCTCGACCAATGAAATCACCCGATATAATCAAAATTTGAACTTCAACGGCGAGCAGGCTAACAGGACATCTCACAGTTTGACATCTTTGCTTGCGCTACCAATATCATCATCAACATCATCATCGGCATCACCGTCATCATCATCATCGTTTATGTATCAAGTAGTTCCTCCGCCGCCAAACGCTTCCGCCATATTCGATGACGTCAGCAGAAGACTGACTTGTGATCAGTACGTTCTAATTGAAGAAAACATCGTCGCGGCCTCATCACCGACATCATCATCCTCATCCTCCTCCTCATCATCTTTTTCCTCTTCTTCTTCATCATCATCATCATCATCGTCTTCGTCGTCATTATCAGCATCGAAGATATCATTGCTAGGAGCGCCTACTGTGAAACATTTCATGTGTGGGAACGGCACTCAGGAGCAGACGAGGCAGTACACGTCGCAACTTCACCGGCTACAGGTGGCGCTGCTGATGCCACCGCTGCCCAGCCACAACTACACCGTCAGGATTGAAAGTGAGTGAATGTGGTGACGGGATGCTGATGATGGTGGTGGTAATGTTGCAGAATATTGATAGAGGCAATGATGATTGAGAAACTACATGATGATGATGACGGCGATGACGATGATGATGATGACGACGACAATAATGATGATGATGGTGGTGATGAGTATGATGACGATGATAGTAGCAATAAAAAATCCTTCCGACAAACTCCTCCCCAGTAATTGGATGCCCAGACTCCATAGATGACATCATCACTCCATCATCATCACCACCACCATCATCATCATCATCATCATCATCACCATCGCCGTCATCATTATTATCGCCGGAAGTACTCGGTGAAAAGGGTTGGGGAGGAGGTGATGCTTATTGGATGCATGCAGTCGGATGACAGCTGGCAACTCCAATGCGTTAACATGGAATGGTCAGGCGAGATGGGAAACTGCTCGGAAGGTTGGAGTGAATGAATGAATGAGTGGATGAATGAACGAATGAATGAACGAACGAATGAATGAATGAATAAACGAATGAACGAACGAACGAACGAATGAACGAACGAACGAACGAATGAAAAAATGCAAACTAAATAAAAAACCCACACAAACATCAGACGTTAAATCTCGTGAAACAAAGCATTCGTTGTCTACAGTACACCAATTGTCTTCCTCCATGCATTCGAACTCAAACATTGCAAAAGCAGAACTGACCAATAAAAATAATATAATAATAATAATAAAAATAATAATAATCTAAACAATAATAATAATTTAACGAAAAAATATAGCAATTTTATTAAACATTTTTTTCCTCAGCCGGAGCTCGCATGGATGATAGACGGGCTTTCTCGATAGGTAGGTTCTGAATAATAATAATAATAATAATAACAATAATAATAATAATAAATGCTGACCAGGAGCCGCCATAATGGTCATCACGCTGGTGTCATTCTTCATCGGATTGTTGGTTCTGTTCGCAGGATTGCTCTATCTTAAGAGGTTCTTCCTCTTCTTCTTCTTCTTCTTCATCCTCTTCTTCTTCTTATTCTTTTTTTTTTCCTTTTTTTTCTTCCTCTTTTTCTTCTTCCTCTTTTTCTTCTTTTTATTATTATTATTTGCCGATTTAACCAACCAAATAACCATCCAACCAACCAACCTACAAACCATCCAACCAGCCATCCAACTAATCAATCAACC